TGGTGGAAACGTGCTATGGTTTTAACATCTATCACACTGCGGTGGGCAAACCTGCACGCTATGATACCCAGTAATGTGTCCCGGTTTTATCAAATTAATTGTAATAGAATTTGAGGATGGAAATAGTAAGATTGGGAACGCAAATTGTTACCCATGAAAATTTGACTTATATCAAATTTCATGAATCTTAGCTCTATCTTTTGCACCTAACGAAGATGAAACAGTTGCACTATCCACTCGTGCGCATTGAGTGACACAATTGTATTGTAAGGTAAACCTGAATCTATAAACATTATGTTTCACTTTTATTTTAAGTGTTATAATGTGGATAACACAGACAGGTCAATAGAAAATTGTATTCATTGCCGTTTCGGTTACCGTGGGTAACCTTTCTCAAGGTAGATTTTACAATCAAATGCATTGGATTTTAAAACCTGCCTTGGTAACGGTTACCCACGGTAACCCAAATGGCGACGAATACAATCTTCTATTGACCCAGCTGTGGTATCCACAATATAATACACACCACAAAACACCGTACATGACGCATCGATTTATCGATATATTACAAATTCTGATTGTAATGTCAAAAATGATATTATTTTGCTTTTATTCATTCTGCACTGATTGTACAATTTTATAGCCAATTTTTCGGAACGGATAAAAGACCAATTAAAAACTATCAGGAGCTGAACAGAAATGAATAAAACGGACGGCGGACGCTGTCGGAGTTCACATTCACTAATTCCGATAGTCGCTGTGTTGAGGCATCAAAACTCCTTGATTACCATCATTATCATAAAATATTTTGATTACGTAACCGTGGTATCGTAACACACGTTCTGTTTAGGAATGTGAGTGAATGGAAGAAACATTTTCTGAAATATTTTGACATCCCATATGTGAAATCGGGAATACTATCTGACGCGAAACAGACAAATTATGCCAAATTTCACTGCTGCTCGTGATAACTAAGTTAGTTTCACCAAGTTTTAAGAAGATAAAGTAGCTCGACCAGATTTTCTTTTCACGCATAATCCTCTGTTGATTCGATCAACGATAACTCCCTAAGAAGTAAAATAACTGTGACCCATGGTCCGCATATGAAAGTTGGAGTCCCTCGTCAAATCACTACATACACCTTAGTGAAGCTTTCTAACAAGGATAAAGCATCACATTTGAATCTCTCTAGTGATTTGTGAGATGTGTCAACATTGTATGCTGAATAGTTGTCTGATGTATGTTTCATATACAGTGTGCATTATATGCGTTTTCAAGCCATAAAATTATAGTTTTCGGACAAAACTCAACCTTCTTAGAAAGATTTTCAAATTAATCAATAAAGAATATCAGGTCAATTTTTCTGCCAGCATTTTGTACGAGTTTTCTGAATTAGTTTGAATCAAGGAAAAGAAAACTACTAAATTTATCAGAACTTTTGCTTCAAGATCACAGGATATCGTATGAATGCAAGGGCAGAAAAAAAATCGTCTTTTCGATAACGGAACTATTGATCGATGGATAAAAAAATCACGGTTTGCGCACATGGTTAGAGTTTCTCAGAACTCGTCCCTATTGAAGTTCAAGGCTTCACAGACATATATACAAACACATACAGTACGCCACAAAGCCCCTCAATAACTTTGAACCATTTCACTTCAATCTTGTTGAAATACAGAAAGTGAACAGTAACTCGTTTTCGAAATGCAAACACTACGTGAACTGGGTCTTGTGATTATCCCAGTGTTGTGCTTGAAAAGCAGTTTATGACGCAATCTCAAAAACTGTTTCTCTTTGTTAAAAGTTACTGAAACAACACGCGCGCCCTTCGATTGGCTGCGCTACACTTGCACGCTCTCCGTCACATTGTGGGAATTTTCACATTTTCACTCACTATCATGCGCCATCGTTACTCGTTACTCACGGGACGATATTTCGAACATCACTATCAGTTTTGATGAGGTAAGATCCCTTCTTCTTTGTGCTTTCCATCCCGGACGGACTGGGGATAGCTTTGCCGAACTACTCGTCACTTTCACAACTCGAAAGAGTCAAGTATGGGATTTTTTACTCGTTCCAAAAACAGTAACTAGTTGTTCGTGAGAAATGCGCCACATTTTTCGCTCATCACAAACGGGGTTTTGACCTGCACTAGTTTTCGAAACGTATTGATCAGCTGTTTTTTTTTAACTGGATTGGTGAATGTGGGGAAAACACAGTTGTGTCGGAGTTCTATGGACTGTAGGCTTACACAACATATGGGAACGAGGGAACAATCTTCGGATAAGAATTCTCTTTCAAGCTTCATGCTTACTTTACCCATGCCTCCCTCTTATAGAAATATTTCAGTGACAGATATAGTGGCACAATTGATCTGGAGGGGGGAAATGGGTGAACCAGTAATCACGTGAGCGATAGCATTCGAACTCACCACCTTGGGCCTGATATACCGTTCAGCCACATACCACTTGAGAACATCCCCACGGTCACTTTTTACACACACTCCTGAGCTTGCTAACATTGCTAACATTGTGGATTGAAAACCCGATCCCAGTAAAAACAATTCGGAAGTGAAAAACTGACCGGGAGACTGTTAGTGGCAGGTGAGTGTGGTCACACCAAACACCAAAATAATACGACTGTTCCAAGTAAACCGTATTGAGAATTGCCGACACCGGGGATAGTCCGGTCGTACAAACAGTGGTCAGCACGTGGCAGTGGTGGTGGGATAAATTCTTCATCAGTATGCGAACAATAAGCCTGGGGAATCACCGCGTGCTATACTGCAGTTTGTTTAATTCGGCAATTTAGAGTTGTCAGTTTACGAACTGTGATACTGTTACTTTCCACACGAATTTCTCATAAAGCATGGTGAGTTATGGCACAAGCTCAAGGTATTTTGCACCCGGTCTTTGGAGGAAGTTCTCTCCGTACAAACGGATGGGGAAGCAAAAAGCCAAAAAGACAGATTAGTATCGAAGAACCAATCATATTTCCGGTTGAACGAGAGAGACCTCAGCACACTTTAGAACTTCCAGCAGGCCAGTGCCCGTGAGTTATCATAGTGTAGTTTAGTTAATAAATCACTTTATACCCACGGAGGGGTGAATATTCAGCAACCACATAACTAAAATGAGCCAACAATAAAATAATGGGGAATTTACTATAGCATTTTAAAAAAGTGAAACGGACAACAGCATCACAAAACCAATGGCATACAAAATGGTGCTTATCATTGGTTTACATTAGCAATTGGAGGAGATTTTTTGCCACGAGTTCATGATTTGTGAGAAATCTGGTATCATATGGGACAATGGAGCGCCTGTAAGCCTCATCATGCATCCCTATACGTTGATAACTGGAACGGGTGGATGAAAAAGAAACACACTCACTATGCGTAGGATGTTGGAAATGCAAACAATTAGACAAAAGCTTCTTGGAGAATGTTTCACATGCCTTGAGGTGGTGTACCGCCACATGCCCTACCAAATGTTCCCGTGGTATAATAATAGTACCACATACCGACAGAAAATTAAGCAATCGGAAAATCTTGTGTCTGTTCTTGTTAAAAATACTGATGAGAATAACAGTGTACCTCTACAGGCAGAAAAAAAACACCTTATTAAATGATTTTAGAATAGAAAGTGGTTTAAGATATGTCACATGAAACATAAGCTTCCTGACCGTCAACAAACGCTATTAACGAGGTCAGGTCGGGTGAATTTACAGTTAAAAATAATACCGAGGTATCTGACAAATGGTTGTAAATCTATTTGGCCATGGCCTCGGTTAGAACAGATAGAAATAGATTCAATGTATGGCTATAAAACGATACATATAAAAACAGAATTTTCATACATACAACTATTAACACTGCGGAAGATGAAAAGGTTCTTGTTTCTGGATAAAATGATGAAAATGGAGTATAATGTGACTCCCTGGTGATATTTCGGGATTGATTTAAAGATTCGAATTGGGTCTGTAATCGCAATAGCTCCAGGTAATTGTTAGAATCAATCCCCAAGGAAAGCGAGAACAGTTTGCTTCAGTTGGTGTGTTCTATATATCAAAGTACCAAATATCCGTTTGATGGATGGCTCGTATGGAGGAAAATTGGACGGTCTCATGAAAAGGCAGTTATCCGAAGCAGAGACTGGTGTCATCAAACAACGCTCTCAAGCCGCATATTGTTTGTGCTTAAGTGGTGGTACAACACCTTGACGGGATGTTCGAGTGATCAAGATCCACAAAACAAATACCCGGAGTTCCTGAGTTCGAATCCCACCACAGAGACCTATCTTCCTTATAATCTGTATTTCTCCTTTAGTTGGTCATAGCCCACTTCCTGAAAATTGAAGTGTAAATTCGTATACTCAACATGATAAAACATTCAGTTCCTCAACCTCTTAGTTTGTTTGCTTGAACACGGTGCATTGGAAAAAACATGCACTGGATCTCATCCCTCCGACAATCACCCTACATTTTTCGTCACAACAACCTTGTTTGTAACATTGAGTAAATTTTGTATAGATAGCTCTTTCACAGCCAGTCCAGTAAAGAATCAATTCTATGATTCAATGTTTTTTAGCTGGGTTAGATGCTACTAACCTGAACCAACGTGACTTGATAGTCTTGATAGAATATTTTATAATATGTAGTTTGTGAATGAAATCACCCTACCTGTTCCATCGCAGTCAACAGGAGAGACATTTGACGAACGAACGCTTTGAATGCCGGACGACTGGTATAAAATCCGGTCCAATAGTTCTGTCCGGTCATTTTGTACGGCATAAAATCACCCGCCCGTCTGGGTATGCTCATTGTACTGTTGTTGAAAGCTTTATTCACTGCTTGCGTGTAACAGATTGGTGTGGAAAAGAATGCGTTGATCAGCTTTCCGTGCACCGAAAGCCCGTTCAACGACTGAACCAAACGATCCAACATGTCCAATTGGATTTTCGCATCTTGAAATTCGAAATCACATCCCATCAGATAGGCAATATGGTTGGTCTGATATTCTTCCACACGTTTTTCCAAACTATTCAAAACAGTATGCCCATCATGAGTGATGTAATCACAATAGGATGTGGATAAAATATGAGTGAACAGTGTACCTGATGGTATTGTTCTGTTACCGTGATCATGATTGTCTATCCCACCCGGGACGGATGTATCCCAAAGCAGCTGTAGTGATTTCTCTCTAGCCCGGGACTTTTTCTCTTCGTGATCCACTCGCTGAAATACGATCGCATCGTAGCCGGAACCGAGGAACAGATTCGCATGATCACGTGCATGACCAAACGAATCCAATTGCCAAGCAATTCTAGGTAATCCACATTGACCAAATTCACGTTGAATAAAATTTCGACCCAGACGAAGTTGATCAATCGCATCTGCATAGTACACAGTGGCCTCATCCGCACTGACCCATCCACCCAGACCGAATTCCAACGCGCCTCGTTTGACCAGCTCCCGGACCCGATCGCGAATGTTTGCATCCTGATCTTGCCACCAACGATGAAAGAATGCGATCTCTGCGAATGTGAACCGATAGTGTTTGACTGAGTCTAACTGTTCGATAACCGAGTCCAAAATAGATTTTACCGAATCGTAGTAGTACTGATCCACGGTACGAACCCAACCCACATCGAGATGACTGTGCGCCAGAATATGCACATTCACTGCATCCGGTTTACCGAATTCGCATGCCGGTGCAGCACAGGTGTGCTGTTCTTGTTGAGCAATGGGAATCAGACGACTCAGAAAAGAAAGGCTGATGATACATAGTAGCCAAAGTACCATTCTTCTATCTATTTGTGAATGTATGTGTGCGTATAATCTACGCAGATTCAGAGAAACGGACAACCAATTAACCACTCATGTGAAGGCCGTTTAAATAGACCGATGAATGCAAACATTCAGCCGTTTCTAACCTGTGCATTGTTACAACACCACAGACTACCTGAAATGGCTACTCTGCGCTGGTGTGTGTGCGTGTGCATGCGTGTGTGCGTGCGTGTGTCTGCAAGCGAGCGAGCGAGTGCCCGTCCGCCAGCACAGGCTCCTTTGGCGCGCTTTTCTCACTGCGGAACAACAATAACAGAAAACAGACATTGGACTTCTCCTAGAGTGTGTTCCCATTTCAACGCTGGACAGTCAAATACCATTTGAGCGAATTGTTACTGTCTCACTCACTGTGCAATTAGGTTTGTTTCTCGTGACATTTCTCAAAACGGTTCCAATTGTATCCAAAATAAACGCGGAACAAAGAGTGAATGTGGTGCAACAAATCCTTTTAAAACTATGATTTCATAGGTCAAGAAAAGGATTAAATGTCACAAGGAATAATTCGAATTCGGATAATTACAAATAGGATGATTTTGATGATGATGATGATGATGATGATGATGATGATGATGATGGTGGTGGTGGTGGTGGTGGTGGTAGAATGGACCACTAACAATGAACGAATGTAAAATGTTCGACTTGAAGGAAAGAAATATATCTCCTGCATCACGTTTTGGACTCCTGAATCAATCAATTCATTGTCCATACGGTATTGATTCAATCTACTAAACTTTAATATTGTGACGTATGTCCGTGCACTCCGATGCCTAATCGACGAATCGTGAGTGAACAAACTGTCGGCAATCGTTGAAATTCTAAAGCCACCTAAATTTACTTGTACTTATGTTTCAACGAGGTACCAAACAAGATACCACTACTCAAATTAGTACTTTGGTAATAGGTATTTCAGAGATGAAAATTCATTCCATCCCATTTTGTTCTATCCGCGATAGGCCTTCTCAAACAAGTCGTTCAAACAAAAACCGTTTCACCCAGCACAAAGGAGCACATTGGAGGATTCTTGTCTTTCTCAGTTAAGTCGGTCAGTGGCAAATTATGGAATAAATCAAATTTGAAAAATTGTAAATTCTGTAGAAAAAAAAGATGCCTTATGATTTTACCAACTTGTATGTGTTGTTCGTTACTTGTATGGTTATTGTGTATAGTGACTGTTTAGTTGTTTTGGTCCACTTCTCCACATTCAGCCGAAAATAGGTTTGATCGATTCGATTCCCCGAAATGCACTACAAAAAATGTGACCAAAATTAAGATCGTTGGAACATTCCAAATCGGATGAGTGATCAATTTTAGGTTGTGATTTGTTGTTTCTAATAAACACATCGATTATCGACAACAAAATCTTCAACCCACCTAATGTTTGCTGTAAAAAATCTTGCTATATAGGTGGGGGGGGGGCAGGGGGTTAAAACGTGATCGTCAAAGCATGGTTGTAGCTCATCTGGAGATAGATAGATAGATAGATAGATAGATAGATAGATAGATAGACACCGACAGATCGCTATATAGATAGATAGATAGATAGATAGATAGATAGATAGATAGATAGATAGATAGATAGATACTAGATAGATAGATAGATAGATAGATAGATAGATAGATAGATAGATAGATAGATAGATAGATAGATAGATAGATAGATAGATAGATAGATAGATAGATAGATAGATAGATAGATAGATAGAGCAGTTTGTAATAATGGATACGAATTTTGTATGCTACACATCGATCGAATCTTCTCAATCGTTAGACCATTTATGACACACGCATATTGGTAACTCACGCCTGACCTTGTTTGGAGACAGACATTCCATACCAATGACATACCAATGTACATATTATTCAATACCATTGACTACTCTCAATACTCGAACCGCTACCACTGTATTCTTCGTTACGCGTCTCGGTGACGGGAGATTGCGGCATACGATTGTTATCACAATTTTGTGCTTCAGGTTTTTTCTTTTTCTCTTGTTAAATTTACTTCATTTTATTGAATACACAATGACACAATTTTCAGGAAGGGGGAAGCGGCCAATCAAAGTGCTGCCATGGTGGTGGTGGGGTTCGAACACACGTCCCCCGAGGTGGTAATCTGGTGACGTTACAACCAGGCCACCACTGCCGTGACCGCGACCGTGTTTTGGTACATACTTTGGTGATTTCATTGTGTCTTCAGAACGCTTCCGTCGCTTTGTTGAAATAAGTTTAAAATGAACAAAAGAATGCGTGTTCAATTCAGAATCGGAATTTCGTATGGATACGATTTTGTTAGAGGCCGCTTAACGCAATGATAGCTGAGATTGCAGTCCATAAATTTCTACTTTGTGTAGCACGTCTAACTGCATCTTTTCCCCTCTGAATCGAGAAGATGAGGTGCACAGTGACTCACACTCTGTAACTAAAAACAAAGCGAAAATGTGGCAAACTAGGAAACTGAGAAGAGTAAAACGGACACTGATTGTTCACTATTGGCGGTCGTGGTGGCCGAGTGGTTAAGGCGTTGGACTTGAAATCCAATGGGGTTCCCCCGTGCAGGTTCGTATCCTACCCGCGACGTGCTCTTGGGTGATGATGGAGCAGTGGTTTAGTCGCTGTCACCGGCATGCTTTGGACCCTATGGTTCGAGGTTCGAGCCTCGCCACCGCCACCCGACTTTGGTGGTAGACAGCTCTGCTGTCGTCCGGTTCAATACCACGCCTAACCTATCGGGGTCTTATGTGGTTCGCCACTCCAAGTTCCGGGGCTTAGGTTGCCGATTTCAACCACTGCACAGCAGGTCCTCGTGATTATGGGGTGTGCCCCGTCTGCTGTTCATCACACCTAGGTGTGTAATAAAAATAAAAAAAATATTCGATTTAGCATATACTGATAGAATTTTCTCGTCAGTTTACCGGTAACCCACTTGCTCACCAGCTCAAAAGGGCAGTTACAAAGAACGGAGAATTACTACCGAATTATTGTAAACGTTGAGGAAGCAATCTCAGACGGAGAAACGAAGAGCAGAACGATACTGAGAACTGATCATGAAATCGAAATAGACCGCAACTGGGTATATGTGAATTTTATCTGGAAGGAAATACCGTTCAATTTGAACTAGGATTCACACACATGCACACCGGTCACCTTTACATACATTAAACCGTCACTGATTTTCGCTTCTACTCATACTCCCTTTCGCTTGGTAACTGCTTCTGCACTGAATTTACCCAAAAGCATTTTTCATTGTGACTCGGCATGGCTCTCCTCGAGGTAGCGGTTTTCTCAATCCAATTTTCATAGCGTCTTGTTATTCATTTGGGAGAAAAGGTTTACTTTGGATAACCGAACGATGTAGTGTTGTTTTAAAAATCCACAAGACAGTGCCGGGCTGAGGAGAGTTGTTTATCACGATTAACGGTAAGAATATTGATAAATTGGTGTACATGAAACAAAATGTCTCATTTGGAACGGGTTATCAGAAATTCCGATAAGCACGCAGGACAATAAATGGAATAGTCCATCCTTAGATGCGAATTTTCTATAGCAACGATTTTGAAGATGGGGATTCGCCATTATTCATTTTTATGGTTGTAAGTACTGCCACTCACACTCCATCCATACTACTCACAAATGTGAGTAGTATTGTAGAAGTAGGCACAGATAGCGAATCACGAATCACAGACGCAACAGAAACACGGAATCTCACAAGCACTTGCGCGGCGGTATCTCTTGTCACCGAGACGCGAGGAAAAAGTCACAGAAGTAGCAGTTGATTTATTGAAAGAAAACAAAGGGATTAAATAACATGCACAAAAGAAGTTCATTGATTATGCAGATATCCACCAATCGTGTGCTTGTACTCTTGACATCATACAGATTCTGTCTAGGCTGCACTAATTCTGATTGGTCCGCACGATTGGCCTGTGGTTCGTTGACCAGAGACTGCAACGCGTCGCTCTGTGGCTGGCGTCAACTGGGAAGTTTGACTCATCACGGTTGTTGCTCCGTGGATGGCATTATCCCGTTGGCTAGAATCACCACAAGGTGGTGCCTGGTCGAAGATATTTGTTTGTTAAGGACCACAGTTAGGATGTCGATCATTTGGCCTACATATTACAAGATATCTCATTTTGAACATGTCATCATAATTCCTGGCATCGAACAGGCTAATGAATAGAACAGTCCGTAGTTATTATTTTGAGCACAGGAAATCACTGTAGTCTTGCTTATTTTTGTCCTTTGAAAGAAAAAGCTAACCGATTTAATTTGTATACTATTCACAAATGTGAGAAGTACTTCACAGCACAAGTACATCACAAAATATGACCCCCATAAAACTCAATGACCTTTACGCTGCCGTTAATCATACCAGGGTGTTTGTATCTCACTGACTACTGGATACAGATACAGGAGACTGAGAGTATCAGAGCAGGTAACTGTTACGTTTAAATGATTCGTTCCTCTTGATTAATCCTAGTATTGTCTCTCAGTATCTAAAACGACTTACCAATTTCAAACAAATAACTGCTTTATTCCACCCAGTGTTCGGTATTCAGCAGGATTCAAATGAAAGAAGATTAATAGAAAAAGCAAGAATCAAGAAAATTGCTAGAACACAGAAAATACCGTCTGGTTGACATGTCAGCCAACAAAATAGAATTCAATGAAGTGTACCGTGGTTCGTAGAAACACCATCACTACTCTAGACCGGGGGCTTGATGATGTGGAATATTCACTTCCGTTCAAGGAAAAAGGAGTTAGTCCCAAAATGCTTCTACGTGATTGGAGATAATGGAATCCGACGGAGTCAATAAGAACGGAGTGCGGTAGGCCACTGAACAGTGGAATACAAATTGATGATTTTCTTTATGTCAGTGAGCAATAGTTATCAAACAATACAAAGAAGATCATTGTCTACTAACCGGTTCGATTTGGTGAAAACAGAATGTATACGT